AGAGTTTAAGAAACCTTCGAGAACGAATCGATATTTTTCGTTAAACAAAAAAAGAATCGAGAGTTTAAGAAACCTTCGAGAACGAATCGATATTTTTCGTTAAACAAAAAAAGAATCGAGAGTTTAAGAAACCTTCGAGAACGAATCGATATTTTTCGTTAAACAAAAAAAGAATCGAGAGTTTAAGAAATCTTCGAGACCGAATCGATATTTTTCGTTAAAAAAAAAAAGAAGCGAGAGTTTAAGAAATCTTCAAGAATCGATATTTTTCGTTAAAAAAAAAAGAATCGAGAGTTTAAGAAATCTTCAAGAATGAATCGATATTTTTCATTAAAAAAAAAAAGAATCCAAAGTTTAAAAAATCTTCGAGAACGAATCCATATTTTTCGTTAAAAAAAAAAAAAAGAATCCAAAGTTTAAGAAATCTTCAAGAATCGATATTTTTCGTAAAAAAGAAAGAATCGAGAGTTTAAGAAATCTTCGAGAATGAATCGATATTTTTCGTTAAAAAAAAAAAGAATCCAAAGTTTAAAAAATTTTCGAGAATCGATATTTTTCGTAAAAAAAAAAGAAAGAATCGAGAGTTTAAGAAATCTTCAAGAACGAATCGATTAGCAGAGTAAGTCAATGGGGACGGGAAATAACAACGTTATTATAGATACAAAGTTGCAAAGAATCGATTATTCGCATTTCCACACGGATGCCAATTTCCATACGGCGTATAACAAACAAAAAACGTGAGAATTTTTCCCCTCGCAATTGTATTCTATCCGGCGATACAAGTGGCGACGTTGAGCAATCTGTCCGATAAACGACGAGCCACGTTTCGAATAATTAACCTCCATCCTCTACGCCTCGCTCCCCTTTATCACCTCGACTCCGTCTAATTTTTACGCGAGCGCAAAATCGCGTACGATTCGAAAGGAGAAGATGGAGGACGACTCGCTCGCCTCTCTCTCTTCCTCCCGCCGGGGGAGAGAGAGAGACTTCTAAAACTGCTTGGCGGGTAGCTTCGGCCGGCGGAGCCGTCGCTCGATGCAAATTTATTCCATTGGAGGTGTGGTGCGACGTGGCGAGCATATATCGCGCATGGAGCGAGGGGGAGAGCTCTCCTCTCCGCCACCGCGTAACTTATGTACCGAGCCGGTCTGCCGGCCGGCCGTCCGTTCGTCCACCGGTCCACCTCAGCCTCAGCCTCGGCCAGGACCTCCTCCTCCCCCTCCTCCCCCTCCCCCCTTCTTCGGACCACTTTCGCTTTTGGCGGCCACCGTCCCGCGCGAAGAATAATTTCGATCAGTCACCGGCCCGTCGGCTTATAACGCCGTCTCTCGTTAAGGGGGCCCCTCCCTTCCCTCGCGTTAATATCTTCCTTTTGCATCATCGTATTTCAACGCGTGTGTTGTTCCAATGCTCTAATGGTGAATTATGGTGGTCCGATACCGGGGATCCCGGAGCGGAGTGGCAGCGGATGGGAGGCCACGATCCCGAGAAAGGGGGTTTAATAAGCTTGGAGAAATGATGCACGAAAAGATTTTATGTCGGGGGAGGGAGGGAGGTGCAAGTTGTTGTTGTTGTTGTTGTTGTTGTTGTTGTTGTTGTTATTGTTCTTGCGTTCGAACGGCTGTTTCTTTTTTTCTTTTTTTTTTTTTCACGAAGATATATCGTATGTAGGTGTAGTCTCGCGATAACTCGTTGAAAAATGGGGCGTGAAACGACTCTGCATTGCCTCGAGTATCGAGCATCGATAACGCGAATTTACGTTTCGATCGTGGGGATTTGAGTCCCTCCTCAAAAAAATCGTGAAATTTGACGATAATTTCTACGCTATAAATTTGCCCGTTCGATTAACAAGTATAAATACGTCGAACGAATAATTCAATAATTTTATTGAGCGGAGTCTAAATTTTTCCGTTTTCACAATCGCAAATCGCCGCTATCGTGTGACAGCCTCGGGTGACAATAAACTAACTTCCAATGTCAACATCGAATATCTCTCTCTTTCTCACTCTATTCACGACGAGTGCACGTGATTAACATTACAACGAGGAGAAACTACGCAAAGTTTACGTTTTTTTTTCTTCTCGAAAAATTTTATATCCTTGATCAAAGTGCAACGCGATACGTGAAACCGAGAATAAAGAAAAAATTTAATACCCGAAGCCAAGTTTAGTTTCTTTCTAAATTTTAAGAAACTTTACGCGACATCTCTCACGTGTAAACAGATACAATTTTTTTTCGGGATGAGAGGAGGGAGGGGGAGGGAGAGAGGAGGAGGAGGAGGAGGAGGAGGAGGAGGAGGAAGAAGGAAAAACCGTGGAAGAAACACAAATCTATTTGAATATCGGTGGACGCGAACGCGGCAAAATTTCTTCTCGTTGTAAGAGCTGTTCGTCGACTTTTCCCCGGTATAAACCTTGGACTTTATGTTCGAATAAGAAAGGTAATGGGTTATTGAGTGAGCCTAAACGGCAGATAAAACGAGGATAAATTCTATTAGTAGAAGGAAACTGGACACGAATATCTTACCTGCCTCGTTTAATTTTGATCTATACACTTAGAATGGAGTTCCTCGGAATCTTCTTTTTTTTTTTTTTTTTTTTCTTATCGGTGCTTTTCATTCGCATTACGAAAACACGCACGCGTTTATACGCGCGTTTTCCTTATACGCGCAATCTATCCATACCGTTTTAATTAAATTCGTACGAATCGATACGAAAGATTCCCTCCTCGATTATTTATCTTCATTAAAATACCGTACGAAACCGCACGCTTTCAACGTTTTTATCGAGAAACGGGGAAAAAAAAAAAAAAAAAAAAAAAAAAAAAAGAAAAGAAAAAGAAGAAGAGGGGGAAAGAAGGAGGAGGAAAGCGTGTGTTCCTCCTCCTCGGGTACATTGATGTATGTATATAAAAATAAGTAATGGTTCGCGCCACATGGCGACCATTCGTTGACAGGAGACGAATATATATACGGCTCGTCTGCCGTCCGAATAGGATTCTTTGATCTTCCTCGAAGGATCGAAAAAGGCAGTGATCCTTGGAAGCTTTAAACATCCTCCTTCACGAGCCGTAAAACCCGACACTGAAATCTGAAACGTGGGCCAAAGATCGATGGGCATAGCGTAGCCGGACCGTACGACGCAAGGGGGGGAGGGGAAGGGGGTGTACAGTTGTGATGAAAAAGAAAGTAAAAAAAAAAAAGCTGGATTTGGAGGAGGATTTGTTGCGAGCCGTGGCCTCGCGCCGGAAGTGGTGGGTGCAAACCAACAGAAATTCTCTTCCCCGCAGAAATTCGAGAGTCCTTTAGGATCCCTATTTCTTCTAGATTTCTTCACGTTCTGCCCGTTCACGGCAACGTCGTGCCAAGATCCAGGGGCTTGATATCGCGAATTTATCGACACTCTTAAACGGGAAAACACACGGGTTTCTCGCGACCTCTTTCGCGTATAACCGTTTCACAGGTGTAAGCTCCAGACTCCTCGAGACCCAATTCGAGGAATTAGAGAAAGAGAGAGAGAGACAGAGAGAGAGAGAGAAAAGAATAATAATATAAAGGACGATCCTCTCTTCTGTTTGGCAGAAACGACATAGACGTAATTTGCAAAATAGTGGGGGATAGATTCAAGGAGAAATAATAATTTTATAAGGGAATGGGTATGATAGA